TTGTAAAAAATGTTTAAAAAAAACTCCCTTTTAACTAATTTCTCCCTTTAAGAAATCTTACTCAACTCACCAAATTTACTGATAATGGTGATATATTGTATCCCCCAATATACTGTGCACCCTAGTAAACTTATCTGAGGAGCAGAGACAGTCAGCTACTAGATTAGACATAGAGGCCAGACAGTGTTGGCACACACCCTTAATCCTATCACTCAGAAGACAGAGATACATCTCTGTGAGTTCAAGGCCACACTGGAAACAGCCAGACAGTGGTGGCATACCTTTAATCTCTGCACTTGAGTTCTCGTGTTTTTGCTTTGGAATCACACATATCATTAATCCCAGGAGGTGATGGCAGGAAGCAGAAAGGTATGTAAGGTGTGAGGACTAGCAACTAGAGGTTTTTGGCAGTTCAACTGAAACATTTTGGGGTGAGGACTTGGAGGATTTCAGGAACTCACTCTCTTTGGCTGAGAATTTCCTAGAGGTAAGAAGGTGGCTGCCTTCTTTCTGCTTCTTGGATCTCTCAGTTTTAACCACAACATCTGGATCTGTTTTTTTTTTTTTTTAATAAGACCTTTTAAGATTCATCTTACAGTCAACAATGATGATTCAGATGTGAGGCTGATTCCTCTGCATAGAACAATAGAAGCCCAAGCAGGCTTCAAGACAACTACTTAGTGTGGTATCAGCCCAAGATGGGGATCCAGAGAGAGCTCATAATCTACCAGGAAAGAAGACATGAAAAATCCAGCCATCTGGATCCAGTTAATTAGGGACTCTGGTCTACATGGGGTGGAGAATACATTCCCATACAGCTCAGACTTGAGCCAGGGCCTGTAAGGACACAGGCAACTAGCATTTTTTATGATATGCCACAAATGTTGGGGTGCCAGATATAAGACCATTGCTAAATTTTCTTATTGATTAAAAAAAACCTGAAGCCAGATTTAGGGTAAAAGCCTAAAGATTAGAGAAACAGAAAGAAGCCAGCCATGTTCTAACCACTAAGAAATCCTCAACCCAAGAGAGAGCTACTTCCTATATACTCATGCCTATATTCCTTTCTGAACCCTGCCTTCTTACTTCCTCTCTCAACCCAGCTTCATCACTTCCTCTTTCTGTCTAGCTCTATCAATTCCTGTCTCACTGTACAGACCTTCAGACCTCTATTGCAGACTAGTTCTGAGATTATAGGTGTGTGCTACCACACCTGTCTCTGTTCCCAATGTGCCTTGAACTCACATACTTCCAGATGGATCTGTGCCTCCCAAATGTTAGGATTAAATATGTGTTCTACTACTGCCTGACCTCTAGGTTTAATACAGTGGCTGGCTTTTTCCTGTGATACCAGATAAGCCTTATTGGTGTACACAAATAAAATATCACCACAGGTATCAGCCCTGGCCCAGACAACTCCACGACCCCAGTTATAGCACAGTTCTCAGACACCAACATAGGCACATGAGGAAGTCTATACCCTGGGCATCTATTTGGGCTTCGGTGGCCCCATGGGCCATGGACACAATGAAATGATTCTTAATGATATTCTGCTATACATATAGATCAGAGCCAAGCCCAATTGTTGTCAGAGAAGCTTATCCAGCAACTGATGGGAGCAGATCCACAACCCAACATTGGGCAGAACTAGGGAGACCCTGCAGAAAAGAGGAAGAAGGTCTGTAGGAGTCAGAGGGGTGGAGGACGCCAGGAGAATGTGGCCCACAGAATCAACTAAGCAGGGCTCATAGGGGCTCACAGAGACTGAAGCAGTAATCATGGACCATGTATGGGTCTGAAGTAGGTCCTCTACATATATTATAGTTGTGTAGCTTAGTGTTCTTGTGGGTCTGTAAATAGTGATAGTGGGGGTGGAGTCATCTCTGACTCTTCTCCCTGCTCGTGGGACCCTTTTCCTCCTGCTGTGTTGCCTCACCCAGTCTTGATATGAGGGTTTGAGCCTTGTATTATAGTAACATTCCATGTCATTTTTGGTTGATATTCCTGGGAGGCTTGCTATTCTCTGAAGGTGAACAACGGAGGAGTGGATCTGGGAGAGAGGGTGTTGCAGGATATTTGATCACACTAGAAGATGTGCCATTGTTTTAACTCATCTGCATGAGGCACCTTCTAATTGGTTTGAAAAGAGCTGAATAGTTAATATCTTGGCAGAAGATGATACGTGGGACTTCCAGGCATAGATAGGACCCCTGAAAAATAATATGATATAGGGGACTTACCAGTCATATATGGAGGATACCTGATGTACAGTATGGAGAGGTAATGAGCAATGTGGCAGAACACAAATTAATATAAATTGTTTAATTTAAGTTTTAAGTGCTAGTTGGGAACAAGCCTAAGCTAAGGCCAAGCTTTCATAACTAATAAAATGTCTCCATGTCATTATTCAGTAACTGGCAATCCAAAGAAAGACTCATAACAGAGAGGAAGTGGAGGGGGCTGCTGGGAGCAATGGATGGAGGAAAAATTGTGATCTGAATGTATTGTATGAGAAAAGAATGAATTAAAAGAATACACACACACACACACACACACACAAGAATCAGTATGCATCTGAATGAATCCTTCAGATCATGAAATCTCTTGTAATTATATGAGTTTTCAGTGTCTAAACTGTCAAATATGTTCAAGGGAGATTGGTTTTTTAGAAGATTTATTGTGATAAAGTAGAAAATGAAATCAATATAAATTTATGACTAAGAAATTTTGTTTTT